CGCCACCATGCCCGGCTCAAGGACACCTTTAATGGGGTGGCTCACAGAAAACTGGAACCTTTGCCAGGCGTGGTGGCGCCCGCCTGTAACCCAAGCACGCAGGAAACTAAGGCAGGAGGTTCGCCTTAAGCTCCAGAGCAGCCCGGATACATAAGTGGATTCAAGGCCAGCCTGGGATACATATGGAGACCTGTCTCAAACGAGCAGCATCTCTACCTTTGCTGCCTGGATTGGACTGTTCGCGGAAGGCGGAGACGGATGAGCGCAGCTGCTGTCTCACTAGAGACATTCCGCATTGCACTCATTGCATCGTCGGCCCCGCACGTGCAGGGCCTTGTGTCGGCGCCAGTGCGAGCGGCAGCCTGCGTCGCGGAAGCTACGAAAATGCTGATTTGTTCCTATTAACTGTATATGCAAGCCAAGGTTATCTTTGTATTCATGTCTTGCTCTTCTTCTTTCACATTTCTGCATCCTACTCATCCTAACCTCACGCTTTCCTCTTTGCGCTGTCCTTGTCTCGCTCCAGACACCGCGGACGTACTGCTGCGCCAACACTGAAGACTTGGAGACGGTGATTCACCACGTGCACAGCCTGTATCCCTCTGCTCCCTTCCTGGCTGCAGGGGTCTCCATGGGAGGGTAAGGTTTTCCCTTTCTGAAATATCTGGGACGCTGGGTTTGGTGACGCACGCCTGTAATCCCAGCACAGGGGAGGCTGAGGAAGGCGGGTCTCTGTGAGTTTGAGGCCATTCAGGGCTACACAGTGAGTTCAAGGCCAGCCTGGATTAAACATAGTGCAACCTGGCTCAACATCAGTCAATCAAAATCAAGCAACCAAAGAGGGACGTGGTTTTATTGGCTGTCTCAGTGGACTCTAAGGAAGTTAGGCATTTTCAAGTAAATGTTTGTTTTTATCATATCCCATCACATATGGTTGAAGGAATGAAGGGATTAATTCAGGTGAGTTTTAATATTTTCCTTGACTGCAGTCTCCCTGGGGAAAAGGTACAGTCCTTTCTCTGGACGTCCAAGGGGGGGGCGTTCTGTAAGCAGGAAAGCCCCGCCCACTGCCCTTTGCCCTTTGCCCCTCTCCATCCCTGACGTTGTCCCCGCCGTGTGCGTGGCTACAGCCGCGTCCTCCTTGGCGCTCTGGAAGCGAGCTTGCAGCGTGAAATTCATCACGCAGCGGAGAAGCCGCAGCCGCTGCCCGGGAGGGCCTGCGCGGCCTGCGGCCCGGCGCCGCGGTGCGGGTGGCGTGGAGCCGGACGGTGGCCTTGCGCGGAGCGAGTGCTTTGGGGGTTGCTCCCTGGATGACACGGGGCGTCGTCTGCTTCTCACCGGCCGAGTGCGTGCTCGGCTGGAGTCCGCGCGCCGTCCGTCCTGTGCGCGCTCTGGCGGCGAGGCCGGCCGGTCGGCCCCGTCCCGCCTTCCGCGCGCCTGCGCCCGCCGGCCGCTCGCCCGGCCCCGCCCCAGCGGAGAACGGCGTTTCTTCTCGGTGCGACGGCTGACGTTCTGTCGTGCCGTGGATCACCCGGGCAGTGCATGCAAATGGCCTCGATGCACAGGGAGCCTGAGGCCGCCGCGGCCCTCCGGAGCGCGGGTCCGCATCAGCGCGGGCGGCGCTGCCCACCTACCGCGCCGGCGGCACACCCCTGCCGTCCTCCGCAGCTGGGCCGCGGCGGGCCTCCCCGAGCGCCCGCTCCTGCGCCGGGACGGGACGGGGCGCAGCCGAGGGCCCCGCGGCTGCCTGCGCGTTCGCTGCCAAACGCGGGCCTGGGGAAGCGGGCACTCCCCCAGGTCGGGCTGGTCCCGGAGCCCCCTGCTCGGCCGAGCACAGGCGTGGAGACGCGAGGCAAATCACCGAGCCCACGCCACTGTACACCCTCGCGGTCGTCCCCGGGGAGCTGTTACAAAAAGTTTCAAATGTACAGAAAATTCCAAATGTGTGTAAGAATATGGGCCGGGCCTGGGGGCAAGTGGCTGTGAGCCCAGCACGTGAGAGGCTGAGTCAGGAAGGTCCCTGAGCATCCAAGGCCAGCCTGGACTGCATCCTAAGACGCTGTCTGAATGAATGAATGAATAGGTAAGAGTGTATCCCAGCAGCTCGTCTCTCAGCTGCCACAGTAATCGACTCACGGATACTCGTTTCATCAGTATACACCCCTGCTGTCCCCTCCAACTCTGATTATCACGAGCTAAATCTCAGATGTCATTTACTCAGACTGCAGCTGGGGCTGAGGACGTAGTGCAGCCCCTGCTTAGCATGTGGGAGGCCTTGGGTTCCATCCCCAGCACCACAAGAGACGAACTACTTCAGATGGGCGGCCTCCGGCCTGCTGGTGAGGTCACAGGCAGTGCCGGTCTCCATGGGCTTAGTCTCTGCCGCCTGCAGACAGGACGGTGAGCGGCGACCTGGAGCTGGGAGGTGACGGGGCCGGCAGGACTTCCTGGTGATACGACCCAAGCAAGAGCAGTAGACACATGAGTATTTCAGTTGGTGTTTCAAATAGAGAAGTCTTTCCCAGCAAGACAGAGAAGACCACAATGCCTTTATCACGTCTGAGCAGAATTAATAGTAATTTCCCTCCCTCCTCCCCGCTTCCCGCTCTCTCTCTTTGCTTTTGAGACAGGGTCTTACTATGTAGTTCAGGCTGGGCAGGCTGGCCTCAAACTGGAGTGGATCCTTCTGCCTCAGCCTCCCAAGTGCTAGGATAACAGGAGCATACCACCATGCCTGGCTAATAGTTTTTTGGTTTTTGGGGGTTTTTTGCTTATTTTGGTTTTCTGAGACAGGTTCTTGATATGTAGCTCGGGCTGACCTTGACCTCACTATGTAATCCAGGCTGGCTACAAACTCGTGACAATCGTCCTGCCTCAGCCTCCCGAGTGCTGGGATTACTATGCCTGGCATAGTAATTTCTACATATTGTTAAATATTCAGTCATTGTTCACACTCCCCAGTTATCTGTTTATTTGATTCTATAGCTTTTTAAAAGTACAAGGACACCCCCTAAATCTTGATTTGCTTCTTAAATCTCTTAATACTTGAGTTTTTCCTTTGTCCCCCCTCTTTGGTGCTTTGTTTTGTTTGATTTTGCAGTTTTTCTCCTGGTGAGAAAATGGGGTCTCTTTTCCTTGGAGGCAAAAAACTTTTGTGGGGAGGAACATCTCGCCGCCCTTTTGCTCCTGAGTAATAATTGAAAATTAACCTCACCTGGCCGTAGCACGTCCTGGCTCTTTCTCCGTTTGCCTTCCCGCTCTGTGATTTGTCCCAGCACCCAGCCGTGTCCAGCGTCAGCCACACAGACCCTAAGGCGCCCCTTTCGGGAGAGGACGCGCTGTCCTTTGAATGGCTTAGTGAGGCGTGGCAGTCTGCACAGCAGCGTCTTCACTGCCAAGAGTCACTTTGAAAAGTAAAATGTCCTTTCTCTAAAATTTTATCACATTCACGCTGACAAGCTGGGTATGGTGGTGCACACCTATAATCCTAGTACCCAGTAGGCTGAGGCAGGAGGATCGCTGACAGTTTGAGGCTAGCCTGAACTATCTAGCGAAAACCCTGTCTCAAATAAACAAAAACCAAGTAAATGAAATAAAGAAAAGAAAAAGAAATGAGACGTCTTGAGACATGTAACAAATAAAGCCCCTTCTCCCCCTTCCAGAATGCTGCTTCTAAATTACCTGGGCAAAACTGGGCCCAAAACCCCTCTGATGGCAGCTGCCACGTTCTCGGTGGGCTGGAACACTTTCGCTTGCTCGGAGTCCCTGGAGAAACCGCTGAACTGGCTGCTGTTCAATTACTACCTGACAACCTGCCTCCAGTCCTCGGTTAATAAGTAAGTCATCTCTGGAAGCTTTGCCACCAACTCTGGCCATTTTTAAACCACAGCATTGCTGCTGTATGGAGATTTCACAAGTCGGATGCATTGACTGACTGAGGAAGCACATATTCTCTGTAGGACGAGTGTGCTCAAAAATTTAAACAATGGAAGCGTAAACTGGCATATAGATCAAAGTTTTTTTTTTCTGTACCCAAAATAGATTGTCTTATATAACTCCCAAAGTGTATGTTCCCACTTTAAAGATCACTAAATAACTCCTAAATTAATCCAGAGGATTGAAGCATAATGTGGAATATACTGGGTAATCTTACGGGCTATTTGCCTAGATTTTCTGCTTCTTCCTCTTGTCAGGACTGAATTCTTGCTCAGGAGGAAATTAAGTGATGTCCATGCTGAATGCGGCTCCTTAAACTCACAAAGCCAAGTGTGCTTTAGAAGCAAGACAGTGCCAGGCCTGGTGGCACATACCTGTAATCCCAGCACTCGGGAAGCTGAGGCAGGAAGATTGCCACAAGTTTGAGGCCAGCCTGGGCTACACAGTGAGTTCAGGACCAACCTGAGCTACGTTGGGAGACCCTGTCTCAAAAAAAGAATCCCTTCAAAAAAACATCAATTTTCTCTTGCTATATCTGACTAAGCAAATCTTTTTAGAGTGCCACGTTTATGCCCTGTGCTAGGTTATTTAGTTATTTATCATGTACTTTAGGTGTGATCAAGGTGAGAATGACCTTATTTTTAGTTTTGAAATTCTTTGTTCCAGGCACCGACATATGTTTGTAAAACAAATTGATATGGACCATGTCATGAAGGTAAGAGAGAAGCTTCGTGTAATGCTTTCATTCTCTCCTTTGATTCCAAGAAGAGATATAATTTCTTTTTGTTTTTCAGGCTAAATCTATCAGAGAGTTTGATAAGCGATTCACTTCGGTCATGTTTGGCTACCGAACAATCGACGATTATTACACGGACGCCAGCCCCAATCGCAGGCTGAACTCGGTCGGAATTCCGGTGTTGTGCCTCAATTCTGTGGACGACGTCTTCTCTCCCAGTCACGGTAAAGTTTATGTGTGTGTGCGTATATATATACATACTCGTGTGTGTGTGTGCTGGGACTCAAACCCAGAGCCTGTGAATGCTAGGCAAGCCCTCTACCACTGAGCGACACCCCCTGCCTTTGCATAGATTTTCACATGTATTCACTTTTAAAGTCGGGCGTGGTGGCGCACACCTATAATCCCAGCACTCAGGAGACTGAGGCAGGAGGATCGTTTCGAGTTCGAGACTAGCCTGGGCTACAAAGTGAGCTCAAGGCCAGCCTGAACTGCAGAGCAAGACCCTGTCTCAAAAAGACAAAAAAAAAAAAACCTTTTAAAATAGTTTTTGTTTTGTTTTACAAAAATGCAATGATGAATTGGTGCAGTAGTGCCTAGCTATAATCCCAGCTACTCAGGAGGGCTAAGTTAGGAGGATCACTAGTTCAAGACTAGTGTGGGCAAGTTAGTATGACTCTGTTTTTTGGTGGTTTTTTGGGGGATAGGGTCTCACTATGTAGCCCAGGCTGACCTTGAACTCACGATGATCCTTCTGCCTCAGCCTCCCAAGTACTGGGATCACAGGCATGTGCCATCATGCCCCGGCCTCAAAAGACCCTGTTTAAAAAAAATAAAAATGAGGCTGAGTGTGGTGGCACACCCCCAGGATCCCAACACTCGGGAGGCTGAGGCAAGAGGAGCTCCATGAGTCTGAGACCAGCCTGTGCTACACAGTGAGTTCAAGGCCAGCCTGAACTACACAGGGAGACCATCTCTCAAAAAAAACAAAACAAAACAAAATTAAAATAAACTGGGGTGGTGTAATCTGAACACTTGGAAGGCTGAGGCAGGAGAATTGATGCGAATGGAGGCCAGCCTGGGCTACATAATGAGTTCAAGGCAAGCTATAGAATGAGACTGTTTAAAAAAAAAGAGAAAGAATAAAAATTTTAAAAAACCTGGAGATAGAGCTCAGTGGTAGAGTTCTTGCCTAGCATGTACAAGGTCCTGTGTTTAATTCCCAACACACACACACACAAAAAGAAAGAAAAGAAAAATGCAAAAATAAGAAATAAAATATCAGTCATTGTATGGCCCGTGCGTCTATAATCGCAGCATTCTGGGAGGCTGAGGCAGGAGGATGGAAAATTCAAGCCCAGCTTGCACAGCTAACCGGCTTAGTGAGACCCTGTGTCAAAATAAAAAAGGACTGGAGATACAGTTTAGTGCAAAGACCCTAAGTTCAACCTCCAGCACTGGAAAAAAAGAAAGAAAGAAAGAAAATGTCAGCTATGTTTTCCACTGTGATTTAAAAAAAAACTTGAGATACTTATTTAATATCTAAATGTCTCAGATTACATCTTTTTTTTTTTTTTTTTGAGAGAAGGTCTCACTATGTAACCCAGGCTGGCCTCAAACTCACAGCGATCCTCCTGCCTCAGCCTCCCAAGTGCTGAGATCACTGATGTGCGCCACCAGGCCCGACTCAGATAACATTTTAGATGTTGCCGGAGCCCTTTATCTAGTTCATCGTGAAACTCAGAATCAGTTATGGCCCTGTATGTAGTTGTTCTCCTTTCCGTAGCCTTGCCCTTACCAGCGCCGGGCTCGGGGCAGATCCTGTTACAGCATTTGCCTGCCCAGAACTCCACTGTCATCCTCACCTGCTCTTGGTAGCTCTGCAGGAGAATCTGGTTTCTCTTCTTTTTCAAACTGAAAGAGAACTTGAGACTTGAGCAGCACAGTGGCTTTAAACACCTCAGCGACGGAAGCAAATCTGGGGCGAAAAGATCATCCGAGAGGGAAGACTGTAAAAAGGAAAATTATTCCAAACAACTTTCCTGCCCTTTTTCATTTGTGTTTGGAGTTGTTTTGGGGGTTATTTTTGCAGTACTGGGAATTGAACCCAGAGCCTTCATGTTGAGCTACATCCCCAGCCTGTTTTATGTTTTATTTTTGAGGTAGGGTCTTGCTAAATCACTAAGATGCCCAGGGTGGCCCCAAATTTGAGGGAATCCTCCTGTCTCAGCTTCCCAGAGTGTTAGGATGATAGACACATGACCATGCCTGGCTTTGTTTTGGTTTTTTGAGACAGGGTCTCTCTGTATAATACAGGCTGGCCTTGAACTCACTCTGTAGCTCTGGCTGGTTTCTTTTTTTTTTTTTTTTTTTTGCAGGATAGCTTCAAACTTCAAGCACTCTTCCTGCCTTAGCCTCCCAGACACTGGTATTACAGGTGTGTGCCACCAGCCCTACTTCATTTCATTTTTTTGGAACTGGGGATTGAAGCCAGGGCCTCTTACCAGCGAAGCAAGCACTGTCCCCTTAAGCTAGAACCCCAGCCCCATTCTCTTATTTTCAAGAATATGAAATTTGGTAGCAAAGATGTCTCAGTGTGCTCCTCTAGTGAAGCAGAATGGTCAGAAGTGATCGTGTGATTCAAGGATTCGTAGAGTTGGCCTCTGCTTTCATTTTAGTGAAACTGCACGGAACATCTATGGAATGTTTTCCCCTTACTTTCTTCCCCTTAAGTACTGCTTGCCTTGTTTTTTATTTTTTGCAGTGCTAGGGAACATACCTGGAGACCCCACACACACTAGGCAAGCGCTCTGCCACTGAGCTAGGCCGGGCCCTCCCACAGACACTGTGAGAAACTTGGTTACCACATTTTCTATCAGCAATAATCACTGAGCCCAGCGTGGTGGCGCACACCTGTAACTCCAGCACTCGGGAGGCTGAGGCAGGAGAATCACCAAGAGTTCAAGGCCAGACTGAACTATATAACAAGACTGTGTTTCAGAAAAACCAACCAAAAAACAAACAGAACAAAACAAACCACTCTGGCCGGGGTGCAGCTCGATGGGTGAGTGCTTTCTAAGCACACACGAGGCCCTGGGTTCCATCCCTAGGACTGAAGAACAAATGATTCCGGCTACAAACATAATGTGTACGTACTTTTAAAATGTCAGGAAGTCTCCAAAAGATAACACCTTTTCAAATCACCATCATTTCTCCGCGAGACCGTACGCAATCCTGGGCGACCTTAGGACGTAGTAACGGGTGACTGCGCAGGGATGGCTCAGCATGGGCGCTTTGGACCACGGAGGTCTCGTCTTCTCCGCCCGTTGTCCTGTTCCGCCGGCCGCCCTGCCAAGAAAAGCTCCCGCCTTTCGCCTGACCCAGGAGGGGGAGCTTGAACTCAGTATTTCCTGTTCTCTCCCAAGCCCTCGAAACGGCCCGGGCACTGGGCAATAGTGCTCGATTGTCTTCCGTCTGCGGGAACAGGCGGCCGTGCGGCCTCCCGCGGGGACCGGGACTGTTGGGCTAGAAGGGCGAGGCCGGGGCAGCACCCCAAACGCGCAAGACATGCTGAACTGGAAGCATGAGAGGAAAATAAGTAAGACACCTCAGTGTGTATTCTTTTAAGTTTATGCTCAGTCAGCTTTGTAGACCATGTGAAAAGACTGTCTCTCGAGTATAGATGGAAATTCAGAAAAAGGAAAGGAAAATAATCGAAGTCAGATGTGGCGGCTGGAGCCCGTGATGCCAGCTGAGGCAGGAGGATGGCTGCGAGCTGGAGGACTGCCTGGTGGTATAGTGAGACCCTGTCTCAAAAAACCCAGCAAAACAAAACAAAACAAAACAAAAAACAAAGAGGAAGAGAAGAAGAGCAAGAAAAAACTAATTTCCCATGATATGTATGTTTCAGTACCCAAAGATAAAGATTTGGAAAACGTATTCCTTCTTTTCCACGCAGTATGTTTTTTTCCATTTATAATTATGAACTTACAACTCTCACAAAGGTGCTAAAATTCTTTTTTGTTTCCCAAATTCTTGGGAAAGAACAGGAAATAATGAGTTTAAGCTCCCCCTCCTGGGTCAGGCGAAAGGTCTCACTATGCAGTTCAGGCTGGCCTTCAACTCACTGTGTAGCCCAGGCTGGCCTTGAACTCACAGCAATCCTCCTGCCTCAGGCTCCCGAGTGCTGGGATTATAGGCGTGCGCCACCACACCCAGCACATTTCTAATTCTCAAAATAACATTCAGCCTATACTTTTGTATTGTGATTAAATTTTGGGTTGATTCTACTCAAAATGATGGCTTAGTACATACTGTAAATATGACCTATTATAAGAATATAGATGATTGATGTAAATTAGACTCATTCCATTTAGCCATACTCACTATAAGGATTCATTTGGTGGGGTTTTGGTTTGTATTGATTAGAAATGATAAAAGTAGAGGCAGGCATGGAGGTGCACACCTGTAATCCCAGCACTGGGAGGCTGAGGCAGGTGGCTCTCAAATTTAGAACCAGGCTGGGCTACACAGTAAGTTCAAGGCCAGCCTAAACTACGTAGTGATATCTTGTCTCAAAAGAAAAAAAAAAAATTTTTTTTTTTCAAAAGAAAAAATTAAAAAAGGAAATGATAAAGTTATACACCTTTCCTAATAAAAGATAATGATGGCTCTCCCCTCTCTCTCTCCTCTCCTCCTCCTCCTCTCTCCGCAGCTATCCCAGTAGAGACTGCTAAGCAGAACCCTAATGTCGCCTTGGTCCTTACTTCTCACGGAGGCCACATTGGCTTTCTGGAGGGGATCTGGCCCAGGCAGAGCACGTACATGGACCGCGTCTTCAAGCAGTTCGTGCAGGCCATGGTGGAGCATGGGCACGAGCTGCCGCGCACGTAGCCCCGGTCCCTCCGGCCACGGCCACGGCAGCCACGGCAGCCAGCGCAGCCACGGCAGCCACGGCCGCCACAGGAGGCAGCCACGGGAGGCAGCCACGGGAGGCAGCCGGGGAGAGGACCAGCACGGGCGTGGTGACGCCTCCTTAGGGAACAAAACAACTTCGTAGCAAGACATCCAGCATAGTTTAGATTGTTCTCTACGTAGATTTTATTTTTCCTATGCCTTACCAAGTATGACCTTAATAAAGTAGTCTTCCCGTCTGTGGAATTGCACTTAACCAAAACTACGGAGTAAACAGAGTTTAATGCCTCAGGGTTTTACTTTAGGCTGGTATTTTTTTAGATGACTCATTTTAGGTGACTTACGAGCAGCACTTGACTAAGGGTTGAGAGACCGGAGTTGTTTGAATGCAAGTGGTCCGGGGGCACGGGCCGCAGGGTGTTTCTAATGAGGACAACATGAAACGAGAGAAAGTTCAATGCGCTCCATCTTTGATGTATTCCAGCTTCAAAAGGAAAGTGCAGCAATGTGAGACTGACTTCTACACGTGCTCTTTCACCCTGGTCATGTTAAATTAGGGCTGATTTGTGTTTTGTAACGATTATGGTTTACAGGCTTATTTTTAAAATAGTATATGTGCGCACATATATATCATTATATTGAAATAAATTCTATCATTTTAAGTTGTTTCCTTGTGAGTTTTTAATCTATGAAAAGAATCCAAAAAGTAATCCCTGGGAAGTAATTTATGATTATTTCATGCACACACTAGTAAGAATTTGGTTTGGGGGTTTCTTTGTGTGTTAGTTTGGTTGGTATTTGACGCTCGTTACACAGTTCAGGTTGAACTTGACCTGACTGTGTGGCTCATGCTGGGTTTGAACTTGCACCAGTCCTCCTGCCTCAGCCTCCCAAGTGCTGGGATTACAGGCGTGCGCCACCACGCCTTGCTCACTAGTAAGAAGTATTAAAACTGTCTTGTTTACAGTTTCCAGAATATTGGCCCCATGTCATTTATATCAGTTGAGAATACCTTCAGTGCCCGGCATGTGGCGTACGCCTGTAATCCCAGCACTCAAGAGGCTGAGGCAGGAGGATTGTGGCATCTTCAAGGCCAGCCTGAGCTACATGGTGAGACCCTGTCTCAGACAAACAAACCAACAAAAGCTACAGGACTCCCCATAGTTCCTAAAGGAATAATTTTATCACCACTGTGTGTGTAGCTCAAGGGTAGAATTCACAAGGCCCTTGGTTTGATCCTCAGCACCACACACACACACACACACACACACACACACACACACACACACAATATGTAGATAGGGATAGAAAGATATTAAGAGGTCAGAAGAAGTCAAGCATGGTGGCACACACTTGTAATTCCAGGGCATAGGTGGCTGAGGCAGGAGGATCACCTGGAATTCCACGCCAGCCTGGGCTACACTGAGTTCAAGGGTACCCTGGACTACACAGTGAGATCCTGTCTCAAAAAAAAAATGAAGTAAAGATAGCATGAGTAGTTTCCCGGTAGGCAGAACAGAGCAGGGCTGGCCCAGGGTTTTACTGAAGTCATCAACAACCCACGCTGTGTTTGCCTGCTGCCCAAGGTGGCAAGGTGAGGTGAATGGTGATCTAGACACACAGTAGCTGCTGCAGCTCCAGCCATCCCAGTTTGTGTCTAAAGAAGGAAAGAATGGGGCCAAACACACCTGCCTTCCCTTACCAGATAGAACAGGCTTTCCCAGAGGGTTGCACTTGTATCCGTAGAACAGTGTCTCACATCCCTCTTGATGTGCTTGCTGCAGCCTTGCATGTGCCACGTCCTCAGAGTGAGTGGGGGCTGGGTATGCAGTGTGTGCTTTTTAGAGCTGTGGCCAAGGGATCAGGGTCTGACTGAGGCTGTGGGGCTCCTCGCCAACAGGGCCATCCTTCATGTCATCCAACATATTTTTCTGCCTTCTTTCACTTCTTTAACCTGTGAATCAAGTGCATGGATCAGGCAGGCATGGCGGCTCACCCTGTAGTCCCAGCACTTGGGAGGCTGAGGCAGGAAGATTGCTGTGAGTTTGAAGCCAAGGCCAGCCTGAACTACATAGTGAGACCCTGACTCAAAAAGGAAAAAAAAGAAAAGATAAATAAATAAAACAAATAAATAAAGTGTATATTGATGCTTGGCTGGCCTGAATCGTATTTTAAAATTTCTTTGTTGAGATACAATTTACATATTGAGACCGACACTCTGTCCAGAAATAAAACAGGCACATTTTGCAACTTGGCTCTCAGGATAGCAAACTAGGACTGCGGCGCTGGCAGGAACACTGCAGGAAGGAGGGCGGAAGATGGCCGCTGGGGACGATCACACCACACTGAGCCGGAAGAGAACCTTGCACAGAGAAAATACACAGTGACAACATTCATCATAGGGAATTCGTACCCATGTATGATATATCCTTTTTTTATACTGGGAGTCGAACTCAGGACCCTGCATGGGCAAGGTCCTGTGCCGCTGAGCTATATCCTGGCCCTGTACATGATATATCTCGCTTTTTCTATTTTTCCCATTCCCCTCCCCTCCCCTCCCCTCAACCCCTCCACCCCTATTCACCTCCTTACTTTATTTTTTGTTTGGTTTTTTTTTTGGTACCAGGAGTCAAACTCAGGACCTTGCGCTTGCCAGGCAGGCACTTATGCTGCTGAGCTATATCCCCGGCCCCATCACCTCCTTACTTATAAACCCTTTGTTTCCATTTTTTTCCTTCTGTTCTCCTTTTATTTCTTTTCCCTTCCTTCCTTTCTCCTTTACCCTCTCCTAATTCCTCTCCCCATTTGAACATTTTCTTCTTGTTTCACAATATCTATTACATATTTTGGTCCTTATTTACACTTTTGTTTTCTCACACCCAGAGAAACAGTGCAGTATTTAAACATGTGCCCCATTGATTTCACTTAAGAGTATGGTCTCAAGGTCCATACAAATGTCTCAAGTTTATCCTTCTTTATGGCAGAATAGTACTCCGGTGTATAAAAAACCCCACATCTTTATCCATTCATCCACTGATACAGCCCCTTTCTATCTGCTTCTGCCAGCAGATTGGAAGGACAAGTCTCTATTCTTCACTTTATCTCCCATGGCCAACAGTGCCTGGCTCATACAGGGTTCTTAGGAAATATTTGTCATTAATAGTATTGCTTTCAATATTTAATACTTAAATGCTTGGAAACCAAGAGTGGTGGTGAACAGCTGTAAACCCAGCACTAGGGTGGCTGAGGCAGGAGGATGGCCAGGAACTCAAGGCCTGCAGGGGCTACACAGTGAGAACCTGTCTAAAAAAAAAAGAGTATTTAACCCTTGAGCCCTCTGGTAGAATCTTAAGTAGAACTTAGAGACAAATCAGGAGTGGGAGAGGAGGCCTTCATCAGCCTCCCTCTAACAGACTGTTTGGGAAGGCAGCGTGATTCCCCCGAGCCCTCAGAGTTAAAATGTGAATTTAACAGTCTCACAGTTGCTCTGAACCTGACAGAGCTCTGGTCACACGGTGAGCACCTGCCTTCTCAGCTCTTAAATTGGAGTCCAGGAGGAGCAGTCTGCAAGGTCGGGTGACACCCAGCAACCCAGAGCTGCTATTTTAGCTCCGGTTTTCACTTAAACGCAATATTTTGGGTCCCGACCTTTTCTGAGAGTGAACCAGGATGCAGAGAGAAACGAACGCCCCTCCTGCAGGACGATAATATTGGCATCAACAGGTACCCAGGGCAGTAAAGCCTGCAGCACGGAATTGCTCTTATTGTTTTGTGTTTAAGTTGTATGTCTAAGCACAGAAATAGATATTTTTATATCCTTGGGCCTTGTGCTGATAAAGAACAATATTTTCTTTTGTTATGTGCATTGGGGAGATATGAAATACTCACCTGGTGTTGATTCTCTGTGATAGTTCCTGTGTGACTCAGGTTTGGTTCATGAAGTCTTTGCCTACAGCTAAGTCTTCAAGATTTCTGCCTATTCTATGTCCTATCTATCGTCCAGCAGATTTAGTGTTTCTGTTTTAATGTTTAGATCTCTGATCTATTTTGATTTTAGTTTAGGGCATGGTGAAAGACAAGGGTCTAGTTTTAGTCTTCAGCAGGTGGAAAGCTGGCTTTCTGGCACCAGTTATTAAAGAGGCGATCTTTCTTCCAGTGAAGGTGTTTGGCTCTTTCGTCAAAGATAAGGTGGCTGAGTGTGTTTGGAGCTCTTTCTGCATCTTCTGATTATTCTGTTGATCCTCAGGTGTGTTTCTTTGCCAGTACCGTGCTGCCTTTTTTTCCTCATCAATAGTATCTATTCATGTGAACAGCTTAACAAAAATAGTAGCGTTCAATTTGCTTAGCACATATTCATTGACAGCTGTTTTTTAATAGCATGCTGTTACATATTTTAAGTGACTTGAGTTCCATGCAAATGAAACTCCTTTAAGAACATAAAGTATCTGGAAAATTAATGAACAGGAAGAGCTTTTTATATATTGGAATTCTAACAACCTTTGCTTATTAAAACTCTGATTTTGTTTTACATCTAGTCTTTTGCTGTTGTATAATCATTGCTATTCATATCAAAAAGTGCCTAAGGTGATCAAGAGCACCCGTGTAGGGCTGGGAATATAGCTCAGCGGCACAAGCGCCTGCTTGGCAAGTGGTCCTGAGTTCAATTACCAGTACTTTGTGCAAAGAAAGCACCCATGTAATCTTGGGGTCCAATACTACCATGCTGTTTTTATCACAGTAGCTTTGCATATAATTTCAAATCCAGGATTGTGATGCCCCCAGCCTTGCCTTTGTCACCCAGTATTATTTTTGCTATTCTAGGTCTCTTCTGATACCAAATGAATTTTAGGAATGTTTTCTTTAATTGTGTGAGATATGCTGTTGGAATTTTGATCAGGATTGCATTAAATCAGTATAGCACTTTTCACTATATTGGTTCTTCCTACCCAAGAACAAGGGATCTCCTTCTATGTTCTGATACCCTCTTTGATCTCCTTTCTCAGAGTACTCTAGGTTTCAATGTAAAGGTCTTTTACTTCCTTCATCAGATTGATTCCTAGGTATTTCATTTTGCGGTAAGCTGTTGTGAAAGATATTGTTTCCCTGCTTTATCTCTGTGGGTTTGTCATTCATGCATAGGAATGCTATTGATTTTTGAGTGTTGGCTTTGTACCCAGCTATGCTACTGAATTTGGTTATTAAATCTAGAAGTTTTGGGTGGAATTTTTGGGGTCTTCTACATAGTGTATCATGTCATCAACA